GAAAGTGAGCGAAACTCACATTTGGACTTACCCACACAAAGGGAAAAAGGTGCGATTTACACAAGAGCAAAAGAATGGACAATGCATGAGCTCATCATCACTAGAAAACTAGACTGAGCAAAGATTGAAGTAGCGGTTTACACCCAAGTGAAGATCGAAGTGAAACATGGAGAGAAAGTGAGAGAAACTCACACTTGGACTCACATACACAAAGAGGAAAGTTGCGATTTACACTAGAGTGAAAAAATGGACATGCATGAGCTCAACATCACTGGAACACTAGAATGAACAAGGATTGAAGTAGTGATTTACACCCAAGTGAAGATTAAAGTGAAACATGGAGAGAAGGTGAGAGAAACTCACATTTGGACTCATATACAAGACAACATTCGAGACATGTTTGCCTTCTCTCCGGTTTCTATTCCAATCACTTGTCTAATTTCTTTAACTTTTTGTCATCTTCTTTGTTCATGTTCTCTTCTTTTGGACAACTCTTCTTTCTTTCTTTTTTCTGCGGCCAGTGTTTTCTTTCAACTGCTGGATGTTTGCATCGATCGTAGCCTCGCTTACTTTTGGCTTAGTCTCACCTTTACGAGTCAATTCCATTAGTTCTTCCAGTTGTTTCAAGGCAAACTGGTCCAGTGCCTGTCGACACTGGGCAACCAGTTTGGAGACTTCGGTCCCGACTGCCACAACCTCCACAACCGTGATAGATTTCTTCATACGGTCTTCAGCCGTCTTAAAATCAAATTTATCATGGATGTGTTGTTCGAATTTTAGGCTCAGACGGTCCCTCGCCCACGGAGAGCGTGATCGGAATAGGAAACAAGAATGTGGTCACGAACCTCGTCAGAGTAGACTTTTGCAAACATTTTTAGAAGTGAGACATTTTTGGAGGACATAAACAAGAAAATTCGTCGGCCAGGTTGGTCTACCGCAAAATAAATAAAAGAGACAATAATTCAACGGTCACCAGAACCAAACACTATCTGAACAAAAAAAAATAATAACAAGGAACATAAATTTCTCTACTAATCCTGGTTGTTGTTCTATTTCTATGTAATGACGTTCTGATCTATTTCAGGTACCACGACTCAGACCAGCATGATCGTCAACACACACAAGTACACAGGCACACAACACAGCACAAGACGACAAGTAAGTCCGCCAACAAAATCACAACAATAGTTAGCGTTCTTCCCCTGCTGTTGCTTCTTCTTCGGTCCTGTGTGATCAGCACCCAATCTGACGTATGGCACCACAGCCACGTCAGTCTTTCAGCCGTGCCGCTTCAGTCATCAGAATGCAACTCTTACTTAGGCACATCCGTGCCTGCCACGTGTCACCCCTGGCATGCCAACTCAGCAACTCAAAGAGTATGCCATGTCAGCATGTCCAATCCAATCAAGGTCAGCAATGGGGTGCACGTCAGCAATGTGCATCGATGTCGTCGTCGAGTAAGTCACTTTCCTGCCTACCACGTGTATCCCCTGGTGTGCCAACACAGCCGCGCCCTAAGTCTGCCACGTCAGCACGATAGTCCGGTCAGCATCATCAATGGGATACAGGTCAGGAGCGATGCCAACGCATCGTACAATGCCACGTCAGCCAGGTAATGGAGCCCCACGTCAGACAATGCCACGTCAGCCAAGTAATGGAGTGCCACGTCAGACAATGCCACATCAGCCTGAAGCGACTCACCACAGTAGACGAGTGGTGAGTCAGTATTGCCACGTCAACACTCCTCCACAACCACTGGTCACGTCAGCAATGCATCCCGATCGCAAATGCGATCGATCGGGATCTGCGCTATCCTTCCTAGATTTTCCCTTCTCGGGATACCAATGCCACGTCAGCACCTGACGAGCACAATTCCAGTCTTATCCACGTCAGCTCCTCGGTTGTAGGCGTCACTATTTCTTCGTCGTCGTTCTGTACAGGTCATCCTCGTCAGTCACATCATCGGAAGTACAGCTCTGATACCAATTTCCAATGAACCCAGATCGTGAAGACACTTGTCAACAATGCCAGCCCAGATAGATATCAACCTGCTGATGATTGTCAATAATCATAATCGTGTCCAGATAAAATAGATGGGGAAACATACACAGACGAAAGAGAGAGAAGGGAGAATAGACTTAGAGTGGAGAAGAAAGCAATGCCCATTTCTGCTTCGGGCTCCCTCCTCAATCGCCACCTCAATAATCAATAGTCCGAACACAAATCTGAAGTTCTATCTCAATGTGCCACATGGCACGTCAACTTGTCATCATCAGCGAGCTGAAGCAATGCCGACATCGAGAGACCAGGTATGTATCTACTATCGCCCCACAATCTTGATCTCCTTCCGAGTGACAATGAGTCGGAACACCAATATCAGACACGTAGCCCCGCCACGTCAGCAAGAGTACAAGTGGCAGCAGCCACGTCAGCGGCGGCGTGTGGCAGCTGCCATGTCAGCATGCCCAGAAGACAATTGCCAGCCAGCCACCATGCCGAGCCAGCAGTGCGTCCCTGTAGTCGCTCAAGTGCCAGCGTAGAGCAAGCGTCCAGCCAGTACCGCAGCGTCAGACTAGCGTCGATGTGAAGTCAGCATTGACGCAAGACAGAATGTTTTCCCTGCCAGGTAGTGCAGGCTTATGTAGCAAGGATGCGGGGCCTGGACCCCGGTCGCTGCTTCCCTAAGCCGTCGAGATCTCAAGACAAATGGCGGCTCAGATTTGCCTGAAACCGAACTCCCTGTGGCCTTGATGCTGTCCGGGTACCTACGCACAACGAGTGAATGTATCCAACCAAGGGCCTGGGCGTGGTACCTTTGACAGTCGACTTAGACTTTTGACTTTCCTGGGCAGTGCGTGGTCACACTGCCTGGCACAGGCCGAGTTTGGCCTGCGTCGTCTGGGCTTCGTTTTGAGGGCCCGGACTGCTGCAGAACATGGGTTATTGCAGGCCCCTGTGTTCAGGCTTTCAGGCTGAAAAGACAAAAGGTCTGTAGGCCCTTGTTTTCAGGCTTTCAGGCTGAAATGACCCAAGGCCTGAAAATGGCCCTTGTTTTGCAGGCGCAGCATGTAACACCCGCCCTTGTGAAGTCAAGTCGGGTCGAGAGCGAAGCTGACGGTCTGAAGGTAAAACCTGGACACAGGTGCGACGTGGAGCCGAAGATACCGGCTTGCCTTGCAATCTTGCGTTCGAAGTGTGCAAGAACATCCGGAGCTATTGCTTGGAGTTCCACCCGGGTCAACCATCAGTCGGCTTTGTGAGTGCAGTACGCAACGTGTACCAAGTATTTGGTCGGCCTGTTGCCGTTGCGTCGCTGGGAGATGATGTCGTCGGCCAGTTGCCGTAGCGTCGCCCGGGAAAATCGTCATGTTCTGTTGGCGTGTAAAGAGCCAACTTGGAGCAATGAATGACCGGATAGATGGGCAAGCGGGCGGGCACCTGAATGGTGAAGGAAGGTCCTTCGGGTGCATCCCCAGCGGGTGCCACGATCAACCAAGACCCCATCCATTTCGGGAGGAGCTTGCGAGAGAGATCTTGTTCGAGGCTGAATTCCGCGTCGGAAACCCAAACGAGATCGCCTGTGCGGAATGGACAAGGAAGACGTTGGTGATTGGCATGTTGGCTCATGCGTTGCTACGTCTTCGTCATCTGGTCGCGTGCCTTGACAAGTAGCTCTTGCTACAGACGCAAGAAAAGAAGATGGTCGTCGTTCTTGGCCGCTCGTGGAATGATTGTGTCCAACGCAGAAGTGACCAGCGAGCCGTGCTCGAACTCGAATGGCGACATCCCGATAGCCGGGTGGATGGATGAGTTGTATGCCAACTCGACATCCGACAGTCGCTCAACCCAATCCTTTTGGTCGGGACGGATGAGAGTGGAAAGGAGAACCTGTGCGGTCTGATGCGCCCTCTCTGTTTGGCCATCGGTTTGGGGGTGGCGAGCCGAACTTGGCTTGAGAGATGAGCCCCATTGTTTGATGAGCGCCAACCAAAAATCGAACATGAACCGAGTATCGCGGTCGCAGACGATTTCCTTGGGGTAACCCTTGGTTTGAATACAAACAGCGTAAAGAACCTCGGCCAACTATGATGCCTTGGCATGATAGCGGCAAGGCAAAAACATGGTGAGTCGGTTGACCGCCGTGAGAATCCCATCCACACCGGTCTTGTGCTTGGGAAACGGCCCGGTAATGTCCATAGCAATCGCTTCCCTTCGGGGCAAGCGGACCGGTGATGGTCGCAACTCGCCGTACGGACGATGGTTGCGGCATTTGAAGCGTCAGCAAACCTCGCATGACTCGCAATAGCGTGAAACGTCGCCGAGAAGCTCGGGCCACCAAAAGCGCTCGCGAAGTCGGCCAATCATGCGCGTGATTCCAAAGTGTCTGGTGGCAGGAGCATCATGGAACTCGCAACTCTCACTTGCGTACACGGCTTCTTGGCGAGTTCCTTCCCCCGCGAGTGAGAGTCACTTGGTACGCAAAGAAGGTCCTTCCCCTGCATGTGGATAAGCAAGTACCCCTCTTGGATCCAATGGTGAGAAGGCGCCGGATTAGGAGAGGAGCAATTTGTGTGCTTGTCGCGAAACTCGGCCTCGACTTGGTAGCTGCGGACAAAGCTGTCCCGCAGGTCGTTGTCAATTTGAAGGTCGAATAGACTGCGGTACAATGATCCAGACGCCGTGAAAGAGCATCCGCAAAACATTAGACTTCCCCGAAATGTGATCGAGAAATAAGTCGAATTGGTCGATGAAAGCCATGCAACGGGCGATGGTGCTATTGACGATGTCTTAGGTCTTGTAGAAGACCAATGGATTGTTGTCCATTACCCATCGGAATTGACTTCGACCAAGTAGGAAGTGTCGCCACCGCTTGAGCGCGTGGACGAAGGCTAGGAGCTGCTTCTTACGTGCATCATCAATGGAGTGCACGATGGGCACTTTCTTGTTGAAGTACTCGACCGGGTGCCAGTACACGCCATCGTGTTATTCAAGGACGGCACCAATGCCATAGCCAGACGCATCCGTAGCGACGCGCGTTGGCAATAGCGGGTCGTACATGCGCAAGACCTCCGCAGATAACAGAGCGGCTTTGAGAGCCAAAAATGATTCCCGCGCATCCTCTCCGAAGTCAAACGGTCGATCCTCGCATTGAAGCTTGGTCAAGTGGGCCGCGATCTTCGAGCATCCCTTGATAAAACGTTGGTAGTAGCCGGCAAGGCCAAGGAACAAACGGACATCTGAGACGTTCTGCGGCTCCGGCCACTCTTGGATGGCTTGAACCTTGTCCGACAACGGACTGATGCCCTCCGCTGTGACGAAATAGCCCAAGTATTCCAACTCTTTCCGGACAAATTTGCAATTGTCGTGGTTGGCTTTGTACTTGGCGCGGCGGAGCGTCTCCAACACTCGTCGAAAGTGCTCAAGATGATCCTCCAATGTCCGACTATAGATGAGAATGTTGTCCAAGTAGACTAGCACGAACCGATCCAACATCGCACGAAAGTCGTTGGTCATTGCCGCTTGAAAAGTCGCCAGGGCACTGGTGAGGCCAAAAGAAATAACGACCCACTCAAAATGCCCGTACCGCGTCTTGAACGGGGATTTGTACCAATCTTGCGGGTGTATCAAGATTTGGTGATAGCCCGAACTCAAGTCCAACTTCGAGAAGAATTTTACATCGCCCAAACGCTCGAGAAGGTCGTCAATCCGCGGAAGAGGTCCTGGATTCTTTACGGTTTGTGCGTTGAGCTTGCGCTAGTCGATGCACAAGCAAAGATCCTTGTTCTTCTTCCGTACGAAGAGAACTGGCACACCGTATGGTGAGCTACTATGGCAGATCGAGCCCTTGTCTAACAAATCATCGAGTTGTGCGCGGAGAACCGAGAGCTCTTCCTCGCTCATGCGATAGATGCATCCTTTCGGCGGCACGGCATCGGCCTCAAGAATGATCTCGTGGCAGATCGGTCGATCCGGCACCACACCGGTAGGAGACTCGAAGATGTCAGTGAACTCGTCGAGCAGCCCCACCACTCGGGGGTCCAAAGACAAGTCTGTAGGTGAAGATTCGGTCATCACGACAGCTCGTAGAAAACATAGGCTTATCTCGTCGGTCTGCTCGTAAGCGCAAGTGGCCCGAAAAGACTTGGCCGATACGACTTGGCACTAGATCGAGGGGTGCGAAAGAGGAATGGTACACGGCACCTCGACGCCGAAGGCGTTGGGAACGGTAAGTGTCCGCCAATGGAAGTTAACCGTGTGATCCGCACTTGCAAGCCAAGGCATCCCCAAAATGATGTCGAAGTTCGTGTCCAAGACGTCAAACGTCACCGGTTCGCATGCATGAGGTGCGAAATAAACCGACACAGCTTCAATGTAGCGATTGAGGAGTTGTTGCATCCGACCGTCTGCCAACTTGATCTTCGTCGGGTTTGGCTTCCTTCGAACTTGTGCGCCAAGTCCGACCCTTTGGATAAAGGACTGGCTGATGAAATTGCGAGTCGCGCCGCTATCCAGCAAAGCGCTGCAGGACGTTTGCCTAACTTGGATGCGGACATAAAGGAGTGGTGTGTTGTTATCATCGTACCGTTGCATGTGAAACTCGCGGGCCACCTTGCTAACATACGCAAGGATGTCCCCCACTGCAGCTTCATCATCCGTCGGCGAAGGTGGTGGTGCATAGAAGGCTAAGTATGTGTGGAGATGGGCGCATAATGCTGCGCATTGCAGTCCCGACAAGCAGCCTATGGAAGGAAGAGGAAGCCATGCAAAATCCTTCGACGTCAATGGGTCCAAGACCTCGTGCGTCCAATCCCTTGAAGAACCACTTGAAGACGATTCATTGTCACTGTTGCCGGATGGAGAAGAAGCCGCACACACATCTTGTCCTTGAGCTTGAGAACCCAGCGAAGGAACGAGACGGGCAGCATAAACCTCATAAGAATATAAGCGAGGATTGTCGACTTCCGCATGTACCTCGGGATGAAGAGAGGTCGTTCACGAAGCAACCGGTTCCGAGGGCGTCGAGAGTGCAGCCACATCAGTCTCGGCGGTGCTCACTTTCCCGAAAGAAATTTGCCTTTGACTTGCGTGGGGCACGTTGCGGTGTCGTGCACCGCACTGTTGCACCACAAGCAGTATCGGTACTTAGTACGGACACGCCTTCCGAGATACCGTAATGTATCCAAGGTTCTGGAGCCGCTGGTCCGGCCCCGGGGGATGAATTGGTGTGTGTCTTCAGTTTGCCGCGTCCTCGCCCTCTGGCAGGGCGGCCACCATCCCGGGCAAATCTCTCCTTCATCAAAAGAGGCAGCCTCATTTGAAGGGTTGGTCGGCGTAGTTGCTGCGACCACAGCCACTTTTGGTCGATGCTGCTCTCTGCCCTGGTTCGCAGCAGACAAACGGCCCAAATTCTTGGCTTCGGTGTTCGTCTCGATTATCTGCGAGGCTTTATCAAAAAGTTGCTAACTTGTTGTGAGTGTCTCCTCAACTTGCGTCACGGCGTTCTGCAACGCTGGACAGCTCCTCCTGATGAAGAAATGTTTGATGCCAACAAAGGTCGATGGCAAGTTGGGCGTGGATGCCAAGTGTTGGTACTCGGCTATATCCAGTGCGTTCTTGGCAGGTCGTTCTGATAGAACCGTTGAAGTTTCTCAGTTGCCTGAAGCACGGGCGACTCCACTTGGAACCGCTTATGCCATGCTGCCTTAAGATCAGGCCAACTGATCTGCGTATGCAGCTTGGAAACTGCGACGGTGTGCATGGACATGTTGTCCAGCCATGCCTGGCATGCGCCCCACGAGCGGGAGTATAAGCATGTGTGCTGGTTCGGGTTGCTAACGTGGTGAATGTCCAACTTCAACTCGAATTAGCACCACCATGGAATCGGGTCGGTCTTCGCTGCATCGTAGAAGATCGGCATGCCGTCAAACTTCGGAATGCTCTCCCGAGTAGTCGCGGTCGGACTGGCTGCGGCGGCACAAATCTGCTGGTCAATCTGCTGATTTGTCGCTAGAGCGCCGTCCTTGAGAATCCGGACGTCGATTTCCAACACGTTGATGCGGTCCGTCAAGTTGGAGGGTCCGGCGGGCCCGGCTGTTGTAGGCTGCTGTTCCAGCCGGCGTACCCGGTCAAGCAGTTCATCGATAAGTCGAGCCTGCTTCCGGACCAAGCTGTCCACGCAGAGGATGTCCTCCTGCTGTGCAGCACAGGTGGCGACCAAGTTGCTCACAGGTTTGATTGTGGTTGCAAGGCCATGCACAACAGCGGGGGCATCCTCCTCTTCAGCAGCCACTACCCATTCGTCGACGATCACCTACATGTCCCCCTCGGTAGTCTCTCCCGTCTGCTAATCCATGCCGCTTGTCTTTGAGTGCGTGAGCACCATGTACTTACGTGACCTGCTGCTGCGGCGATTGGTTGTTGACGTGTCCTGCTAACGTGGCATGCTAATGTGGCCTGCTGACGTGGCAACTCACCAATGCCGCCGCAGGGGGTACCCGGAGATAGAGAAGACCAGAGGGGGCAACAACATAGGTGGGGAGGGGTGGGTTGATCGCCCAGATAAGGAGCCACTAATCAAAAAAGAAAAGTTTGAACTTCGCAAAAAAATTCAAGAAAAAAGAAAATACTCGTTTGCAAGTTCAGTAGTCCTCTCAATTCCCCTTGAAGTACGAAATTACCAACGAGGAAAATTTTTTGAACTTTCAGACTGCAAACGAATTCCGAAAGTAAAATACAAAAAAAATATTCGAAATTACTCAGATGAGAGTACGCGCAGTTTGGAACATGACAATTGCAAGAGGGATTTCCCGTACCGTTTTCAAAAAAACGAATTTCAAAATTAAAAAAAAAGATACTCTGAATTTCCAAAAACCGCGAAATTGCAAAAAGAAATCAAAATTTTCGAAAAGAAGATATTCCGGATTTCCAACAACGAAATTTTGAATTTTCATAAGAAAACCGAAAACGGAAATTTCAGGTGTTGCACTATTGCGATTTTCCACAACAGAAATAGCGGGCGAACAAAATCCAAGAGAAAAAAAATTCGATTTTCCACAATTAGGTCAAAATCGTGATTTTGGGGGCTAATTAGTATGCTCTAATCATCAATCAATCAAAACTATTTAACTACTTCGTCCCCACACATGTGTCAGATCAGGTTGTCCCGATTCACGTGAGGTGTTCCGATACCAACTGCTACATACCCAGTTGGGCAATGTATGTAAAGCCAAGGAGCCGCAATGTGATAAAAAGGACTGAATGGACAATGTTGTGCTAGTGGAATCTCACAAACAACGTACATCCTGATACATACAAAATGGCGCAATGTAGAGCAGCGGAAGACGTACGATATAAGCCCTGACCTGGTCGGGACTGACCTCTCTCACGTAGTACAAGACAATGCAACAAAATGCTAGAATACCAATGACCAGCCCAATCAATGTCGCAATACAGACCAAACATACATCATCCTCGTCACAAGATGTGAAGGGGCCTGGCGCTACACACAGGAAGAATGCGCCAGGTCAAGACCATACACAAACGAAGTGGAGGGGATTAGATGAAGAAGAAGGGGGAAGATGGGAATGTCGTCAACACCAAGTCTTCGGTACAAGTCTCAGATAATCCCTTGTCAACTGTGTGAAACCCAATGTGGAGTTTGGATCCAAATGTCACCAAGCTCGCTCTCTCGTAGACTGCTGATGCAGTGAAGTCAGGTAGCGAGAGTGTGAGAGGGAGATGGTGGACTGAGAAGAGGAAGAAAAAGAACTTTCTCTCTCTCATATGCCAGGTACTAACCTATGACGATGACGATGTGCTTCGGGTACATCGAAGACGAAGCTGGAGCTATGGCGCTCCAGGTAAGTCTCCCTGGCCTCCGCCCAATCTCTCTCTCTCCAGTACTACTCTAGCTCCTAATAGCGCCCAGCGCTGAAGACTACTGCTAACGCAAATACTACTACTACACCGCTCCTCCGGAGTGCTTCTGCCGAATCCTGAAGACTACCTTCTCCCTCCTGAACTGCACGTGAAGTGCCTGGGAAGTCCCTACGAACTACCTGCAGCCTGCCCGGCGGTCTAGACTTATATAGTGCTGGCCCGTCCAGGAGGCCGCTCTTGCCAATGCCAAAACGTGCCAGACCCTGGCGTTGAAGCTCAAACAAAGGTTGTCTTCAAAACAGACCCAAAATGGCTTGTGCTAAAACCCTGGTCTGGTGCCTTTCAGGGCAGGTCGATCTTATGAGGGGCTGAAAATACTCAAGGCCAGGAGGGCCCTGTTTTAGGCTGAAACGACACAGGGCTTGTAGGCCCTTGTTACCAGGCTTTAAAGCTGAAACGACATAGGGCTTGTAGGCACTTGTTTTCAGGCTTTCAGGTTGAAACGACCCACGGCCTGAAAATGGCCCTCGTTTTGCAGGCGCTACATGTTGCAGGCGCACCATGTAACAGAGGCCGATACGGCTGTTCATATGATGGAGGCTAGTACGAGGGGGCAACAGACTACTGATCAGGGCCAAATGGCCCTTGAGCAATATGTAGCCGAGGAACTGGCAAAGATTGTTGCAGGCAAGCTGAAAGAAGAACGGGAAGTAAAAGAAGAAGGAAGGGAAGAAGTAAGAAGGTCAAAACTGAATGAGGATACAATGCTGACCAACATTAGACAATTGGAAAAAGCATTGGACGAATAAAAAAAAAGAATGGATGAGTATCAAAGGATAAAATTCGAGAAAAAACTTGATGGCCTATTTGGCACACCTTGAGTTGAAGATTGATAATAATAGTGCCGCATTAGAGTCGGTATTGAGACTAGTAAAAGGGAAAGGTTAAGTGTCAGCTGAGGAGGAGGCTAAGGGAAAATAAAAGAAAAAAAAACAAGAGAAGTTGATGAAAGATGCAATGAAGAGGACGACGCCAAAAAAGTTCGAAGGTTCCAACAAAGAACTAGAGGAACCGGCAGGGAAGAAGGAAGAACCCGCCAAAAAGTAAGAGTCGATAAAAGAAGTCGAGAAACCGAAGAAGAAAGAAAAGATGAAAATGAAGTTACCACTCACCTATAGCAATAAGAGGAGGACAACTTGTATGGATTGCCGAAATCCAGACTTACAACAGTACTGCACGCGTCGAGCCCGAGAGCCAGGTCGTTTTCTCCACATCGTGTCTGGGGGGGAGTGGCTAAGGAATGGGTGTTGTCCGAGGCCAATGTCGCTGGCTTTGAGGATATAGGTGAGTGGGCTAAGACCTTGACGTTGAGACAATTTCTCCAAGAGATTAAGGAGCGATTTCTCGACAAAACGACGGACGACAAGGCCTTTGACGAACTCACTACAATCGGGCAAAAGCGTTGGTCTTGAGTTGATTCACTATCTCGTGAGGTTGATCGTCTTTTGCAGGTACCTGGACTGAATTTGCAAGACAACCAGGTCTTGTACATCTACTCACGAGCCTTGCCCGACCTCATTCGATGACACCTCGTGTAGAATCGAAGTCAGGTAAGTATAATGATCGGCAGTTCCGCGACCTCGTTCTCCAGAGAGAGCAGATGACCGCTCAGGTAAAGGGGTCTTACGCTTCGATGATTAAGTCAGGACCTGTTGGCGGATACAGTAAGTGGGTCCTCTGGCGGCAAAAACCGCAGGACCATATGTTGGTTGTTTTCGATGATGATACCGTAGAAAAGTTACCACTCGAAGAATCCGAGGGAGGAGGTGGTGCGGGAAGCAGCGAGTTTGGGAAGGGTGACCTCATTGTTGTCATGGCCAACAAGGGAGGCCAGAGTCAGTGGAAGAAGACGAGGAGGCCACACCCGTTCCCTGAGCATCTCGGCATAGCGTTCGGGAGGCCTTCGGAGAAAATGAACATGACGCGAGAGGAGTGGCAGTCCAAAATGGACAATCACCAGTGCTTCAAGTGTGGCACCGTGGAGTAGCATCTGCTCCTACTGAGTTGAAAGGATTAAACGAAGATAAAGGTAAGGCGCCTATAACCCCTTCTATTCCTTCGACTATTAAGGTTGAGGATGGCTCGTCTTCCGCCTGTCGTCCAAAACACCCTGACGCTGTACTTTGTTCCATTTCACTAGACGATTCCCTTGACGAGCTCGGCAATGAACTCATAGCATTACAGAGTTCGTGGGCGAAGAACGCTAAGTCTAAGGGTGAGCTGATGATTGGGGATATTGAAACTCCACACACGCGAGTAGGTGCTTTGTTAGATCTGGGATTGACGCGGTCTTACATCTCAGAGAAGGCAATTCGAAAATTGCATTGGGAATGAAGGTAAAATATTTACCTCGACCTATCCCGTTTATTGATACGAGCACAATCACTGTCTCTCAATACGTCCATCGAGTAAAGTGTTATTTTATGACTAAGGAAGGTAAGAAGATTTGACATGAGATATCCATCCTTATAGAGAAGAATTTACCCTTGGACATGATTCTGGGAATGGATTGGCACGAAGAAGCTGACCAGAGGTGAAGTTCAAAGAGAAAATTGTCGAACTCAAGGACGAGAAATCCGAATTGCGTGCTATAAAGTTGTATCATAGGCCTGACTCTAACTCTACTTTGTCTTCCTGCTGTCACAAGCGGTTAACAGGGACCCCCACTTTCAGCCCTGGTTAACCCCTTCAACCCTGAAAAGTACATTGGACACCGTTTTCTTTCTTTTGCCCTGTTTTATTTTTGGTCAAGTTTGTGTGTGCCAAGTTTGGTGTTTGTTGGGGTCTTGAAGTTGACTGTTTTGGCTAGCCCTGAAAAATCTTGAAAATCCTGAAAACTGAAATGAGTGAATTTTGCATGAAAACACACATTTGCCTTGTTGTTTTATTGGTTTTTAAAGCTTTTTTTTCATTTTTTTTTTCAAGTCGTTAATATGATCTCCTCTCTCTGAATTGGTGGCAAGTTTGATTATAATGACCCTTAAGTTTTGTTATAAATGACCTGACAAGTGGTCTGAAAATTGAGGTCTCCGTTAAACGTCTGTCTGCTGTACGAGTTATCCATCTTTTCGTTCAATGGTAGTTAAGAAGAAGTTGGATCAAGAGGTGATGATGGTGCTTGTCAAGCGAGTCGATGAGTGCCTCATCCTATCCACCTTCTATCTAGAAACTTCTCAACGAATATAAGGACTTGCAAACTTAGCTGACGGGAATCACTGAGCGTGCTATACAACACACAATCGAGATCATTCCCAG